CCATGTATGAATTCTTTGCCTCATTAAATGAGTGAGCTTGCAATAGTTGAAATAACCATGCAAGACTTCAACAAGTGCTACTATAGGTGCAGCCTTTTAGCATAGGGTATAAAGATTTTACCACATGGAAGTCCACCAACACCGGGCTACTTTCTTTTTTCTCCCTAAGACTCTTCACTTAATTTCAGTCGTCTCAACCTATCCTAAAAAAATAAAAAATAAAAATATTCATTGGTCTCAAAATTATAAAAAATCTATTACTTAAATTCTTAAACTGTGTTTATCCCACATTAAAAAAAATGCATTATATAAGATAAGTAGCTAATTAATATGTTAAAAAAAATATTATACAATTCAAATTATTTCGAATTATATTAGATTACACAATATAAATTATTAAATTGAGGATATACCTTCTAATATTGAAAGTTTTCCTTATCTAATAGTTTTTATTTTGTAATTTGAATTATAAAATAAAAAACCCATATATTTAACTTATCACAAACAAAAAGGTGTTTCGTACGGGTGGCTTCCATCTGATGTTCTATGTTTTGCAGTCTCATTAATTTCTTTTCTCTTTGTATGGTTTCAGCTTTGATAGGGGTCTTCAATGGAGGACTGGAGTGAGAATTGTTCCAATACATTGCTCAAGTTCTAACGACTTTAGAATAACCATGCATGCCCTAAAAGTAGCCTATGAAGATGCCCAAAAACTTAATATGAAAGTAAAAGGGGTTTTAGTAACAAACCCCTCAAATCCATTGGGAAGAACTCTAACTCGAGATAGGATAAACGACCTCATTTCTTTTGCAGTTGCCAAAAATATCCACATAATAAACGACCAAGTTTTTTGCGAAACGGTTTACGACTCCCCCGGTTTCATTAGCGTAATGGAAGCGGCTTCAAAGATGGACATGCAAAACTCTGATATGTGGAGCTGCATTCATATTGTCTACAGTCTCTCCAAGCACCTCGGCCTTCCTGGATTTCGTGTTGGCATGATTTATTCCAACAACAACAACGTCCTCAATACTGCCACAAAAATGTCGAGTTTTGGCCTCGTTTCTTCACAAACTCAGTTCTTGCTGTCAAAAATGCTCGTGGACAACAAATTCACTAGTAATTATGTGAATGAGAATCAAAAGAGGTTGAAGAAGAGGAAGGAGATGCTCGTTTCAGGACTTGAAGAGGCCGGAGTTGAATGCTTGAAAGGTAATGCTGGATTGTTTTGCTGGGTAGACATGAGAAAATTTTTATCAAGGCCAACATTCGAAGCAGAAGAAGAACTATGGAAAAGTATTCTGTACTCTGTTCGGCTGAATACCTCCCCTGGATCATCGTGCCATTGCTCTGAACCTGGCTGGTTCAGAGTCTGCTTTGCAAACATGTCTGAAGAAATGGTGCATACAGGAATACAACGTCTGAAGAACTTTGCAGAACT